CCCCCTCATCCTCCTCCTTTTCCTCCTTCTCCTCCTCGTCCCCTTCCTCCGTCACCTCCTCCTGCTACGGCTGCTGCTTTTCCTCATCCTCGTCCTCTTTTTCCTCCTCCCACTCGTTCGACCACGCTATGGGCCTTTCTCCCCAACTTTCCGCCCACACACACATCTGATTTCTCTTCCTTTCAGCCCGAGGATGATGATGATTATGTGGACCTGGGCGCAGCCATTTTGACTTTCTATTCAGTTTTGGTGGATCTATTGGGCCGCTGTGCACCGGACGTGGACACTACAAAAAGCGAATCAGTCCGAGGTCGGGCTATCCTACAGTCTCTTGTCAGCATGCAAGACCTCGAAGGTGTCCTCTCTCTGCGTTTCATTCTGCCGCCGCCGAAACTCGAGATGCAGGTTAGTGTAGTTCGCCTACGTTACGTGCCCTCCTGAACGCATTCGGCTCAGCTGCGCTCCAATTTGTATGGAATAGTGAATTATGATAAAGTTTTGATCTTCTGCTTGTGCTACTTCGGAGTTTCTTTCACTCCTGGGATTGTTTTGATTAAATCTGGTCCTTTTTAAACACAAACACACACAGGTAAATGCTGAGGGTATAGAAGTCTGGGTGGACAAATCATCGATGCCGCCGGGTCTTCTGCCAGAACATAAGGCCTCGGTTGTACGCTTCATGGAACGTGTCTACGGGCTCTCCGATGCGGACACCTTTGTGCGTCTCCTGGAGAATGCCTTCTTGCCAGACATGCGAGCAGTGACTCTTCTGGACTCTGTAAGTGCTAAGTGTGTCCATTTCTGCAGGCAGCGGTCATTAATCCAGTGGGAACTTTTTGCCTTTCTTACTCTTGTTCTTTTTTCGTTGTTGTTGTTGTTGTTGTTGTTGTTGTTGTCGTTGTTCTTCTTCTTCTACTATGTGCATCAAAGTCTTGCTAGACGTAAGGCTAAGGCTAATGGTTGAGCGGTGTGAACTAAAATCTACACCCCTCTGTTTTGTCTACACCTAGGCCCAAACCGGACAGGCTGCCAGTGACATGACGCTGGCCCTCTATCGCTACATATGCGGTGGGGTTCTGCCCCTCCTCACTCGTTACGCCCACTTCCTCTCCGTGAACGATGTCGCTGTGGGCCTCCTG